CGCAGCTGGGGCGCTCTCAGGTCACACAGTTAAACAGAAAAACAGCAAGTTTGGGGCACAGGGTTTTTTTCAGAAGGGGCTGTGATGGAAGGCTGGGAGCAGAACTTTTCTGAGGGCAGAACTTTCCTCCTGCCCACCCACAATGCTGAGGTGATGGTGTACAGCAACTGTACCCCAAAAGGGAACATAAACCTCATCATCCTTTTGAGCCTGGGCACAAAAGGACGTGGACTGTGGGACATCTGTCTGACCAGCTGAGACAGCTGGGTCACCCCAGCTCTTACAGCAGAGCCATGGCTTAGGTTTGCCACAGAAATCATGAAAGCAAAGCAGGAAGCAGCAGCCTGGCACCAACTAGAGCTTAAGGCCCTGCAGTTCCCCTCCTGCTCCTCACGGCACCACAAGCAGCAAGTCCTTGCTTCTTTTTCATCTTGGGGATGCATTTTGCTGCCTTGCCATGCCCAGGACAAGAGGAATCTCCACTGCAGTTTGGCTCAAACTCAGCTGATGCCCCTGTTGCAGTCCCAGCTGCTCATGAGGCCAATCACGGGAAGCTGAGCTGTACAGAGGGAAGTCACCTCCACTGTCACCATCAAGACTAAGTCAAGCTGATAATTGGGCTCCCACCCACGGACATCCTGGGCAAAAATATTCAGCCCTCATGAGCTCCAGTTACTAAAAATCATGGGATCCAAACTGGGAAAGGCTGGCAAATAAATCCATGAGTGGTTAGCAAACCCTGCACTGCTCTTTTGGAGCAAGAGCCAGGAGATCACTATCTAGATGGAAAAATTCATAAAGTTTTACTACAGAGATCATATAAGCCCTGCAACCTTTAATAAAGCCATTGTAATTACAGAGGATTCTTATTTTTTAAATCAAACCTTTCAAGTAGCAGGTATATAAAAACACAGTTGCACAAGGTGCCAGAAAGGAATCAAGCAAAATATGTTCTCTCCCAGTAATTAGTATTTATTAGTGGTAATTTGCATGCAATCCCTCATCAGATCTAGAAATGCCAACCCTGAACAACTGCCCAGTTTGTCCTTTGGGCATGCTAGCCTTGCTCAGATCCTGTCAAACCTCATAGACCTCAAAAGACCAGCAGCAAGAGCTGGTCCTTGCTGCCACAGGAGGATCCTTATCCAGCGTGTACAAACTCCTCACAGGGCACAGCAGCCCAAGCTGCAAAGCAAACCCCATATCTGACCTGATACATTTTGAGTTTATTCTAATCTTTTCCTCTTCAAAGGTGGTCCAGGCCATCCCTCTGGTGCAATCCTCCCAGGAAGCAAAGCCTCCCTTGCAGGATTTTCCCACTCTGCCTGCAGCAGCTTTCCCACAGCCCTGCACATCCCATCAGGAGCAGCCTGGCCCAGAGCTCCAGCCCTGCAGAGGGGCCCCACAGCCCCCTTTAATGGCTGATCCTGGCTGCTGGGGGATCTGCAGGAGCAGGGCCAGGAGCACAGGGCTGGCTGCAGCCTGACAGGGCCAGCCCTGGCAAACCAGCCCTGCTCCGAGCTGGAAGGGTCTGTCACAGGGAACTGCTCCTACACCCACTCCAGGAAAGCTTTCTGGGCTTGAGTAATGGATATTAAAATACCAGGCAGATGAAATCCATCTGCAAGTGTTTCTCGTGGAAGCATTGTGCACTACAGAAACTGCACATACTGCTCCAAGCCAAAAGTGTTATTTTGCATGGGCTGCACCACATGGTTATTTTTATTACTACACTTCATAAAATATTTCTGAAGTTTCCTGGAAGATACTGTTTCACATGCCACCAAGAAACACAAAGCTTGCTCCAAGCAACTCCTGACACATATGCAGAGGAGGAGAGAAACAAATAATCACCTAGAGCTTTTTAATAAACCATATCTTTTGTGCACTGCAGAGATAAGACCTGTGACTTGTGATGGATGGGGCCATCACTGGAGTCCCACTCATGCAGAGCTTTCCTGAAAACCCCACACTCACTCCATCAGGGGTTTCTTTGGGGTCTCACCAGCAGTGCAGGACAGCTTCCCACATCAGTTCCAGATGCACCCTGACAGCACAATCCCCACATATGGTCTCTCTGTGACTGCTGCAGCACAGGGGGAGCCAGAAGGGTTTTTGGGTGGCAGCAGCAAACCCAAAGTGTGCTGCTCACAGCCCTCACCAGCAATCCTCCCTTGTGATTTTCAGTTCTACTCCTGCAACAGCTGGACCTCAATAGCACAGAGAGAGCCCTGAGCACCCACACATTTATCTCAGCCCAGCTCTGAGCAACAACTGCCCACAGTGTGGTTTTATAGCCTGGATCTGCTCCACAGCATCCCCAGTATTGGTATTTGTGTCCCACCTCCACACCTGGAGCACCACTGGGATCAGCAGTGACAGGGTTAGCCCACAGCTTCAGCTGGGAGAAAAGGAAACACACATTTTTCTAAAAAAAAGCCCACAATAGTATTTTAAATAAATGTGGAGTGATAGCTCTTCTTAGAAATGCTGCTATTAGGCAGCAGCTTGGAAAAAAAAATAATGTCTGATAAAAAAAGCGTTTAAAGTGGTGCTTGTTTATTCACTGATTTCTTAGGTGTTTATCAGCTTGGTACGGGTGAGCAAGGCACAGCAACACACTGAAAAATTACTTTTAAATCTCATACTGTGACAAAATAATAGCTGGATAATAATGCAATGACTTTTAAAGCTCACTTAACAGGGGATATTAATGAAGATATTCCCTAACTTCTAAATTACTGATATTGATTATATCTGTATAATGAGGATGGATAGGATTTCAATTTGAGAGTTAATGCAGAGTGCTGAAATAATTGCACATGAAAACACTTCCACAACTCAGTTACTTTTGTTTCTTTAGAAATGTAGACTTGAAACATATTAACAGATTACTGAGATCTTAAAAGAGAACCTCCCAAATTCCTCCTTCATGTTTCAGAGAAGTGGGTATTTCCTCAATGATTTCTCTGTAAATTTATTACAAGTGTCACACACAGAACAATGTAGATTAAATACCTCAGTCTGAGAAACTGGTAATTTTTTGATACTTAATTGAAATTTTTATCCCCAAAAAACTGAAGGGCTCCAGGCAGGATCTAGTTATAAAGAAAAATAAAATCTATGGTTCCTCTATTTCCTTAGGAAGACTAGAAGCAAGCAGAACTAAAAGAAATAATAATCACAAGCATAGACATCCAAATGACCTTTAGTCTATTATTAAATGATTAAATAATTTGAATCCTTATAATATCACACAACAAATTACTGGAAATACAGGGTCATTGCCCCATTGCTACTGGATAGTGGTGCCAGAGTAATTAATAACTGTCTCATGGATCCAAATGCAGACACTGGAAAAGGCTTGTCTTTGCAAGTGTACAAATGGGGGAAACCAAGCAAAAAAATGGTGATCCACACTTCTGAAATAAAAACACAGATTTCTTTATTTCTTTAAGCCCTTCTTCCACAAATGCATTTGCCAGAGAGCATTTAAAATAGTAATTATCCATACCAGTTATGGAGGATGACACTAAGCACTAAGTCCTAGACTTACTAATTGCTCCTGCCTCAAATCCCTTTGCTTTTTCCTTTGCTCTACTTTTACTTTCCTGGAGTTCATGCACAAAATAAAGAAACCTTAAAGTACTTATTTTCAAGCTTGGTATTTAACTAAGTTTCCATAATTAAGAACTTGCAAACAGCAAGCTCTATGCCTTTCCATTCGGCACTAGCCACTTTGGGATTTACAGATTTTTTTTTAATTAACCCCAAAATCTCTGCCAATATTTAGGGAAGGGGCAGATGTATCCTGGAAGGGAGGTGCTTAAGCTAAGAGTGAAGATTCCTGCAGTTTTTTTTGCCCACAGCTTTGCATACACCATCAGTAGTCAGGGTTTAGTTTATTGACAAAGTTTGTGGCAGATCCGACAAGGTGTTTGTGAGATATGGGACTCTGAAAAATGAGGTGCAATTCAGCCTTTGAAATATTCCTCTAACAATTTATCCTGGAGCCATATCTCAAAACCTACTTGACCTAGAAACTTCAGGTTTGTTTTATTCAAGAGTCCTTGGCTAGATTCAGTGCACAGAAATACTTGAGATAAGGTCAAAGTCTTATTTACTATATGCTACCCCCCAGATGGGTGTTTTTTGTTTGTTTATTTTTTCCCCTTCCTTAATCCGTCAAACATTCCTTCAGCCTGTCCAAAGGCTGTGAGACAGGCTCTGCCAGGGTTTTGGCAGGGATTAGTGGCTGTGTGGGGATGTGGACACAGAAACACCATCACTGCTCAATTAGCTTGGCTTCCAGAAGATTAATTCTTGTTTCCCAGCTATTCCCTGGGATGCTCACACACACTGAGACTTGATTCATTCTGCTGGAGCCACACAGAGCCACTCTGTAAAGTGCACAAGGAAAATCACTGTTGTCCAGAGCCAGCAAATATCAGCACAAGCAGCAGAGGGGCTCCCCAGGCCAGGGCAGGAGATTTCCAGACAAGTCTCACACCCCTCTAAGGGAGAGAACAGGAAAAGCCTTGGATGCAACATTTGTTAGCAAGGTTTTCTGCTTCACTCAATTGCTCAACTCCACCTTCACCTGGAGCATCCCAGATGGACCCAGCATAAAACCTGCTGGGGTGTTTCGACAGCCTCACTAACTCAGAGCAGCTGGCACCTTCAGGCTGAAGGTAGGAAAGCTTAACAGGACAAATAAAGAACACAAATTCAGATTTGTGATTGTACAATGGCATGGATTTTACCCAGAGCAGGAGGAGAACCTGAGAGTAGAGTTTCATTTTATTCCAGCTATCATTTAGAAGAACAAAAATACAAATCTTGCAACTGCTGAAAGAATAACTTCACCCCAGGTTTATGGATGTTAACTTAGCTTGTTAAAGTCTTCTGCAACAAGACAGAGCTCAGATGTTCCAAGAGTGTTCCTCATGGCATAACATCTCCACTTAGTATCTAACATTTAGACAGACACATTAGCTCACCTTTCTGTCTGATGTTGGTGCTGGTTTCTGGCAGATAAAAGGCAGTCAAGTTCTGGAGTCAGAAGAAAAAATGGAGGGGACAACAATCAGCAGCTCCTTGGTGCCTCAGAGGACAGCACCCAGCTTCCCCAGCCAAGGCTTTGACTGCAAACCCAGGGATGAGGCACCTCATCCCCAGGAAAGGAACCAGGAGCCCTCCCTGCCCCTCTTTATCAGTCCCTGCTTTATCACTCCCATCAGGGCTCCCCTGCCTGCGTCACCTGCCCCTGATCAGTGTACTGGGCCAGCAGTGGCTGTAAATTGCCATCCATGGCAGGTGGATCCAATTGCTTTTGACCCTACAGTTCCAATAATCAGGTAGGCTTTTCACCTGTCACCTACCTTGACAAGCAAATTGATGTTGCAGATTGGGAGGGGAAAAAAAACAGCAAGGAGGAGGGGAAGAGAGGGGAAGGGGTGAGAAATGACAATCTTTTCCTGTCTTGCCCCAGGTGAGTGTTGCAAATTGGCACCAGTGGTGAGGGAGTCACCCAGGGCTGCCATGCAGTGATTTGAGTATTAACAAGCATCCTTCATTGTTCTAATCCATGATGTATAATTAACCCCTTGGAGCCACCAAGTCTGGGAGTGCTCTTGTAAGGGCTGATGTAAAAGGCAGCATGACATGCTGCACTGGGAATTCCTAACAGCCCACCATCAAAGGTTTAATCATATGCAATTTATGCCTTTGCAGGTTATTATGTATTGGGGCTTGCTGGAACCTCTCCTGTTATCATGCACCAACATGCAACAACTCAGTGTAATCTCCAGTTGAGAGCATTGTCTCATAAGTGCCCTTTCCCCACAGGAAAAAAAAATAAACCAAGCAATAACAAGGCATTTTAAAAGAGTCTAGACTGCAAATTGAATAGGAGGAGATGGAGGCTGAGGATGGAAGATATGAATGTAGCTCCTTTAATACAGGAGATCACGCCTACATAACTTGCTTTAACTCTTGTGACAGTTCTGGAGCACACAGAGGGATGCCTGAACAGAAGGGTTTGATTTTTATGGGCTCTAAAATACTTCCATTAAATATGTATATATCACTTTTCCCAGATGGAATTCCTTAACACCCAATATATGCTTTGTAGCAGCAGGTAACAACAGAGAAATATTTATTAGGATACAAACTCTACAGCAGCAGGCTGTCCAAAGGAAACTGCTGAGACTCAGTTTTTGTGGACAATATCAGCTCTAAGGGACTCTCTGCTCCAAGCTAGAGCAGAAAAAGCAGCTTCTCTCCTGGCTCCAATGCTGGTTCTGCACGACAGAATATCCCCATTCCCAAGACTGATGAGTTGAGCCTGGGCAAAGTCAAAATATCAACCCAAATTTCTTTGTATTTGAAGACATAGCAGATTCCAGCCATCTGGGGATGGATCTTTTTTTGCACTGGTGCTACTGATGTTCTTTTAAAAGACAAGGAGAAAAATCCAGAGAACCCAGGAGCCAAGATTCTCACAAAATCAGTGAAGTCAAGAAGCTGGGATTTAAATATTGCAGAAAATCTCATGAAGATCTGAGTCTGGTTAGCAGTGAACTGGGAGAAACTGAAGTATGTTCCAAATCCAGAAGTTAGTCCCCTAAAGTACTTTATTTGTTCCAGAGAGTCAGCTGAGACTCCAGCACACAAGAGAGCCCTGCCTGGGCCACAATGTGATCCACAGAGAGCAGGCAGATGACAGGGAGGAAAAATGCAGAATTATGTTGCAGATGAGCAACAAGACAATTAAGTGACTTTATATCACAGGCAATATATATTTAAGTGGCTTTAAATCACAGGCAGTATATAACAGAAATGAGGGGTGAATTCAGACCTCCATAACTGTCATCCAAGATTTTTGGCACAAAGCTGGCACAGAGTGCCAGAGAGAAGCACAGAGGAGTCACCCAGAAGTCACAGTGTGACTTGAAATGATGGACAGCTCCCAGATAACAAATGCAAAATAGATCTTCACTGAAAAACGTGGCATGATGTTTTTCACGTTATCACCTCTCAAAGGCAAGGTCTCAGTGCACACAGGGGTGCTTCCAAACAGAGAGGATTGACTTGTCCTGCAGCAAGCACTGAACAGGGGGATTGCCTTCGCTGGAAGAATGTCATCCTCATCCTCACCCAGGCCTGCAGTGACACAGGAGCTCCTCCAGCAATGAGAGATGCAGGATCACCTGGCAGAACACTTGTGATGGGAAATGTCTTCTCAAGGGGTAGCTCAGCTCTTCTGCCTTCTGGTTTGTGGAAGAAAAAAAAAGTAAAGGTGGTTTGAAATTATGGAAAATCATCAGTAGTGCTGAAAATCATCAGTAGTGCTGAATGCTTGCATTATTAAAAAAAAAAAATATTGAAAAGAATCCAGCCAAACAGGCATATTGCTCCATTTATTGCTCCATTCCCACTCAGAATCCATCTCCCACATCCCTCCTGCAGGGCTGTGTGTCTTTAAATCTCCTTCCAGCACCTCCTTTCTCCCTGCAGCTCCGTGCTGGGGATGTCAGAGCCGTGCTGGCAGGGCATTTCCCGGTGGGTGGCAATGGATTATGCATTCATGGCTGCACAATGCAAACTCTGCTGGCACAGGAAGCAGAGGTCACAGCGTCGTTTGCTGCTGCTCAGCCTGTGCTGGGCTCTCACACTGTAGGTGGGGTGAGCTCACATCCTCGCTCCCAACACGCCCTCCTGGATGGATTTACATCAGAAGCAAACCCAAGGGGCTGAAGTGCTCGATGTGATCAGGGAGCAGCTGTAAAAGGAGAAGCAGCACTGGGCTGTGGAGGGCTGGGGTGTGACAGCTCAGCTGGGGCTGGAAGCAAAGCCAGATAGTTCTTAGGGCTGGTCTGGAGGGGTTTGTGGGGACCAGCTCCCCTCTCCACTGTTTCACCCTCTGCAAGCTGGATTCCAGCTCATCCTCTCCTAGATGTTACCTCTGAGTTTACCTCTGAGTAGAAACAACTCCACCAAAGGAGAAAAAGACAACATCTCTAAGCTAAAAGCCCTTATTCTGATTTTTGCAGACTTCTCACACATCCTTTCCCCCCACTTTGAACAGCTACTGTCCCATCAAAGCTCATAACATCAAAGTTGCTAACAGAGTCATCCACCCAGGAGCTGATCACCTTTCTCACAGCCAGGAAGCAATTTGGGCTCTAACTTCTGCATTCTGGGATCCATGTCAGCAAACCATCCTTCCCAGGTCATTCCTGGTGTATCCAAGCCATCTCCTTGGGTGCTAAAAGGAAATCAGCCATTAAACTTGGAATATCCAAAAAATCCCAGATCCAGTTTAGGATAAACAGAACTGTTGTAATCTCAGCTGCTTGGGTTTCCATTGCCAGACACACACACCCAGAAATCAAACATTCCTCTGCACTCAGAGGAGGGATTGTGACAGAGCACATGCAGGTCTGTGGATGTTTCCCTATCTCCCCTTAAGCCTATTCTCTTGGCATCTATTAAGGAATCACTGTGCATTATTAAGATATCTCTTAATTAGCATTAACTACATTACACTCCAATTTTTTCATAAGCAAACTAGATTTCTTTACAGCTGCATAATGTCAATAAATATCAGATGAACCTCAACCTCACATACATTCAGCTTAGAAAGTGTAGCTTCAATTTGAATTGTCCATCATGCAGAAGGAGATCTGACACAGAAACTACTTTGCCATCACCCTCTGGCTGCTCCCTGAATGTGAGTGCAATGTACAGAGCTTCAGCTGAGCAGAGCACCTCCTAGAAAAGGGTATGGAAGCTATTAAAGTTTAAAATGCAATCATGTGCATGGAGGAGAGGTTGTTCCTTCATACTCCTTTGAGTTCAAGGATAAAAGAAAACAGTAAAGCATCTCATCTAGAAGAGGTCAGTGGAAAAGGACCAGAAAATGGGAGAGGTGGGGCAGAGATCCCAAAATAACTTAGGCTGCAGTGTCCACATGATGCCCAGAACAAGGAGCAGGGCAGCTTGGTCAGACACTGCCCCCCCTGGCACATTCTTTATCCTGTCCTGGCCTCAACTCACCCAGAGAAGCCAGGCCAGGGCAGGGTTACACAGCTGTGCCCAGGTTTTCTTAAGAACCACCCGAATTTCAAAGTGAAAAATGTCAGGTGAGATGCAGCTCACATGGAAATAACCAACTCAGGGCTGACCTGTGTCCTTGGCCTGGGCAGGGATGCACAGGGACAGAGTGGGGACACCTCTCCCACCTCCCCACAGCCTGTCCCACACTGGCCTGGTGGGAGGAAAGGTGAAAATACAGAAAAGACAGATCCTACCCCTGGGGCACATCAATGTGTCCCTGCCCTAAGCTGGGGACAGGCAGGGGGTGGAAGGGTGAAATTGAGCTCCCAGCTGTTCCACGAGGGAGCAGGTCAGAAGAGGCAGCTTGCTGTATTAATAAAACCAGGAATAAGGATGCCATACTCCATACTCACCCATACCCCACTGCTCCCTTCCTCACCCTCCACCTCCACAAAACTTCTCCACAAATACAGGGGTGTTATTTTTTAACAGCAAAACTCCAGAAAAATTGAGGGGAAATGGTGAACTGTGCCTCTCCAGCAGCATAAATATCTACATCTATTTTTCATAACATAATTCATTCTTAACCCAGGTCTCTGTCAAGCTCCAATATTGGTTAAGACCTGTGGAAGCAATAATTTATAAATTACTAACAGTAGCAAACAAACAGCTTTTTCAACATCTGCCATTGCTTGTGACAAAAAAAATATATGCAAAGCTGAGGAAATCACAAAGTGTCACCTGAAGAAACATGCCAGGATGAGTTTCCCCATCCATCAGAGTGACCAGCACATCTAACCACAGCTCAGAGCAGCAGAAAACAAATGCTTCCAACAAGCTGCTCTGTATTTGCTCTGGTAACTAACAGCTTGGGGGGGAAAATTTTGCAAGCAATTTATGAGTGGAAAAAAAAGGTAACACTCGAATATTATTCATTACAAATTATTCATGCTCTTTTTTCATGCAAGTAGCCTGCCCATTCATCAAAATTTTTGTTCCATCCAGGGCTGGCAAACAAGCTGTTACTCATTTTTATTTTCTTGCATTGCACTCAAGGTATAATATATGAAGAAAGTCATATTCTGCTGGTGCACAGGCAAAGGGCAGAATGACAGAGTGGAAAACTGCAGGCAGCAGAG